TGGGGGCACATGTGCGAGGAAATATTCAACACCTGCGAAGTCGCAGATGCATAGAAGGGGTCACAGAAGTGGTGCTGGGTGAGAGGCTATGGTTGCGCAAGTGCGAGGGAGTTTCCGCACCTGCGAGATCGCAGATGCAGGCTGTGGGTCACAGAAGGGGGAAGGGGCCTTGGGCTGAAGGAGCGCAGAAGTGGAGGAATTCCGTAGAAGCGGACCCGCAGAAGCGAACTCTTGTCCGTGAAAGTGAAGTGCTGGGAGTCATAGGGTTTTAATAGATGTGATGTTTGGACCGCACCTGTGAAACTGCAGATGCGGTCAAGTGACCGCGGGTGCGATGACCGCAGGGGGCCTTGTTAAGTATGTGGGTTTGGCTTATTTTCATTTAATTTCATTTCTTCCATGGGAGCAGACCTTGGAGCGATTTTGGAGCGTCATTTTCATCGTCAATTATGAGGTAAGTAATTTCTACAAGTTGTGAGTTAAATATACGAATTTGAGCTTGTAAATACATGAAAACTTTTGAAAATTATGGGATTTTAAGGAAAAACCTAGAAATTGATATTTTGGATTTTTACCACTAAATTGGATATGAAATTAGGAATAAATCATATATTTGAGTTCGTGGTGTTATGGATAAAGTTTATCTTCAAATATTTTCGAAATCCGAGCAAGTGGGCCCGAGGGTTGACTTTATTGACTTTTCGAGCGGAATTGGGAAGTATTATGAATTAATTATGATGTTGGAGCATATGTTTCTTGGCTTATGTGATTGTTTGACTAGTTTCGAAATATTTGGCTTGGAGTTGAGTGTTAGAGTAGCGTTGGAGCCGATTATGGAACTTTGGAGCGAGGTAAGTCTCATGTCTAACTTGTGAGGGGAAAACTACCCCTAGGAGATGTAACTGTTATGTGCTATTAGTTGTGGGTGCTATGTACACACGAGGCGGTGAGAATCCGTACGTAGCTAAAACATGTTTATGTCCGGGTAGACTTAGGACTTTACCATGTAATATTTGAATTCATTATGCTAGCTTAATTAATTGAAATTATAATTGAACTTGATTTAGAAATATATAAATATACATTAGGCCTAGCCTTATTACCTTGAGTTGTTGGCAAGTTATTTGAGAAATATTACAGGTTATACTCACCTTGTGTTCATATACTATATCGTAAGCTCGTGTCTCGTAATTCGAAAATTCCTTTCCTTTCTTGTGGAGCGGGCCGAACGCCTCGGCAGGATTATGTACCACACTCTAATGGGAGCGGACAAGTCGCCTCGACAGTATAATAGATGCATCTATGGTTCGTGCCGCTCGACCCTCGGCGGTGTACACGTTATTATGGGATAGGGCCGATCGCCTCGGCAATATCATATTCTTTCTGAGATCTGGCCGTACGACCTCGGCATAATCGTGCATTATATCGCCAGCAGTCCGAATATTTGCGAGATTTTCCTTCCATTGATGCCTTGCATTTTAGATGGGAATTCTTATCCGTTTGTTATTGGCACTTGATATTTTCGAGGTGTCGAGATAGAATACGAGATTGAGAAATTGATATCGTTAAAACAAATTTAGGAAGATTGTGTTAGTTACATATTTACCTCAATACTATTGTTGTACTCTTATCTGTTTATGATTTACCATATTGATTTATTAGACCACTAGTAAGTGTCGACGTCGACCCCTCGTCACTACTTTTCCGGGGTTAGGCTAGATACTTACTGGGTACACGTTTATTTACGTACTCATGCTGCACTTCTGCACTAAATGTGCAGGATCTGACAGGTTCATTTGATGATCTTCTTGGCGCGCAGGTGCTGCTGTTGAGGAGACTTCATATGAGCTGCATTCCATGCTACACATCGCAGTCCACAGAGTCTCCATCGTACTATTTATTTTATCCTGTCTTATTTATATTCTAGATAGATGTTGTATTATTATTGTACTCCTTAGTAAATGCTCATGCACTTGTGACACCGGGTTTTGGAGGTACCTACTGGGTGTTCATTATTGTAGTTCGCGTAATTATTAGCATTTCACCTTGTAATTTACACCTTATACGGAAATTGAAAAATAAAATCACGGGTTTTCTACGAGTACTAGATTTTACACTACTTATTCAATGGGATTCATGATTTTAAAAATAATAAAATGAGTAACTTAGTAGATTAATCACTGTTGGCTTGCCTGATGGCGGCGTTAGATACCATCACGACCTATAGTGGATTTTGGGTCTTTAAAGACACCATATTCATGCTGGCATGCCTTTCTTATACCTTACAATCTACTGCTTGAGTTGTGTATGACAAGTCCATATATATTTTTAAATAGTATTATCCCCGATCCACGTAATCCAAAAAGTTTGATTGATGTATATTTGCAACCTTTGATTGATGAGCTAAAACATTCGTGGTATGATGGTGTTGAAACATATGACATATCAACCAAGCAGAATTTCAACTTGCGTATGGAATGTTGTATGGGTGAATGACTGTTGGAAAGTTAGCTTGTCCTTACTGCATGGAAAATGGTAAAGCGTTCACCTTAAAACATGGCCGCAAACAATCATGGTTTGATTGTCACCGCCAGTTCTTGCCAGTTGATCATGAGTTTAGAAGGATGAAGAATGCATTCAAAAAGAATAAAGTGGAACATGATTCTACACCTCCGATACTTTTCGGTGAGGAAATTTGGGAGAGGGTGCAGAACTTCACTAAAGTTATAGAGGCTCCACCTTCTAGATTTTTCGGATATGGTGTTACTCATAATTGGACGAAACAGAGCATTTTTTGGGAGTTGACTTATTGGAAGGGTAATGTTCTTCGACACAATCTTGATGTTATGCATATTGAGAAGAATTATTTTGATAATTTGTTCAACAAAGTGATGTATGTTAAGGATAAGTCAAAAGATAACCCGAAGGCTAGAATGGACTTACAAGAGTATTGCAGGTGACCTGAATTGTATTTGCAGACAACGAACAATGGTAAGGTGTTCGATCCCAAAGCTAGTTACACATTCACTTGGAGGAGAGACGACAAATTTATGATTGGGTTACGAGCTTAAAGATGCCTGAGGGTTATGCGTCGAATCTGGGAAAATGTGTAGATGTGGAAGTAGGGAAGTTGAGCCATTTGAAAAGTCATGACTGTCATGTTTTCATGGAGACATTAGTACTTATTGCATTATGCGGTTTGCCCGAAAGAATCTGAAAACCCATCACAGATATTAGTTTGTTATTCAAAGACTTGTGTTCTACCACATTGAGGGAAGAAAACCTACTTCGTATGGATTAGAACATTCTTTTAATTTCAAATAAGTTGGAAAAAATATTTTCATGTGGTTTCTTTGATATGATGGAACACCTTCCATTCTACCTTGTATACGAGGCACGACTTGGACGACCTGTTCATTGCAGATGGATGTGTCCCTTTGAGAGGTATTATTATAAGTTTGAAGTAATCTTCTATTTTATTTGAATGCTCTTGTCTAATACGACATTATGCAGGACAATTGGAAAATACAAATAATTTTTTGAGTAGAGGAATAAGATTGAAGGATCTACATGCGAAGCCTATCTTGCAAAGTAAACTGCACATTTTTGTTCTTACTATTTCGAGAGTAACGTGCCATGTTCTAAAAACAGGCCCAATAAGCACAATGTCGCATGGGAGAATGATCCATTATATCCACCAATGTCCATCTTCAATCAACCAGGCTGATGTTCTAAGGATGTTAGAAAGAGAAGTTTAAATGATGTGGAGTACAAGTCAGCTACAATGTATGTGTTGCTAAATTTTTCTGAAGTTCAATCATTTCTTAAGTAAGTGTTAATTTATTGTTAATCAAAATGTAAAATATACAATGATTATATTGATGCAACTATTAAATTGTTTTGATGCGTCGCTGTCACTTTATGGCTCAATTTGGTAATGATATTATATATACGAGATTTGATACGTGGNTATATAAATGATAACTTGTGAGTTTTTTTCAACACTATCTGTAGGTAAATAATCCAAATAATAGTGTAAATTAAATTTTTAAAAGATATATCTTGGGGACCTGGGCTTTAGGTCATAACAATGTCTAAGTACGTAGTGAATGGTTACAAGTTTCATACGGAGGATTGCTCTCATAATAAAAAAAGCAATAACAATGAGGTGTGGGTTAAAGATGGTTATGGCAACCAAGTTGGAGATATTGATTATTATGGTGTGGTCAAAGAAATAATACAACTAGAATATACAGCTTGGCCATACAAGAAATTGGTACTCTTTAGATGCAAGTGATTTGACCCAAATCCAATAAGAGGTACAAAAGTGCATCAGCAATACAACATAATTAAGGTTAATCATACGAGGGAGTATGATCGCTATGAGCATTTCATAATTGCATATAACATTAGGCAAGTGTATTATGCCCCTTGTCCATTGTAGAGGATTCAGTCGGATTGGTGGGTGGTAATCAAAACTAAACCTGTGAGTAGGGTAGAAGTCGAGAATGTGTTGGATGTTGCATATCAATACGGTATCTCAAGTGTTCACAAAATAGTGGATGATCAGTTAGAAAATGATTTAGAGCATACTGAACGTATATTAGAAGAAGTTGATATAAATGAAGTAACAACTATAGAAAATGAGGACGAAGAATCAGCTGATGAAATTGAAATAAGTGAGGACGAAGAATTCTCGGACGAGGAAGAATTTGCCGAGGAGGATTAACAAGTTGGTTTTTTTAAAGCACTCTCGTGTTATAACTAGTTTCTTATTTTATCATTCTAAATATATATTAAATTATGCAGATGGTAGGCAAGGGTAAAGGTAATGATGATCCAGGTAGTTCACGGGGTCGTTCTAGGAAGGGAAGGAGGAGGGTAAATTCTGCGGATAATGCTACTCCCTCATTTTCAGCTGCTTCATAGAAGCATCATTCGATGCCTATGTCTTTTCCTCCACCACATAGCTATACTGAGCTTCCACAACAGCACCATGCTTATACTTTCATGCAGACTCTGGGTTTGCCATCACAGGGACATAGGACTATACGTCCGTCATATAGTCCAGTTGCCTCACATCCATTTGGATCGCATGCAGCTGACTCACATCCATTTGGATCGCAGCCACCGGCCTCATATCCACTTGGATCACAGCCATATGTGTCGCAGCTACATGGATCGCAGCCAAATGGATCGCAACCATCCATATCACAGCCACATGGCTCACAGCTATCTGTGTCGCATCCACATGGATCGCAACCATCCATATCACAGCCACATGGATCGCAACCATCCATATCACAGCCACATGGATCGCAACCATCTTCATCATCTACTCCTTCCATTTCTGGTCTTAGCCTGCGAGATCATAGCATTGAGCCCCCCTCTACACCGTCTACGCATTCCTCTGATACATATGCTGAGGATGATGATCCATAGGTAGTGCAGTATGATTGTTATGGAAGGATCATCGTAGTCCCTGAGGGGAATGAGTAAGAGTTATTTGTTATTTTTTACTTTATTGTTTTATAATTCATTAACTAATATTTTCATGTGTTTTTACTGTTATATTGCAGGTTCAGACCAAGCAAGAAGACTACGAAGATAATCCACCAATGCCATTTGCAAAATTATGATAGCCCCTATGCGACTTGGAGTGATTTTCCATACTCGCTGAAGTAGCAAATATTCAATCAGTTTAAGGTATACATGTTCTTTTAAGCAGTTTAAGAATTTATGTTTAATATATTTCCATCTAATATTTACATTTTGATATGCAGAGTAAGTGTGTATGGGAGGACCGCTATAGTGAGGCTGTAGCTTCAAATATTTAGTATAAAGCCCAGAAGAGATTGGCCGATCATTTCTCGGATGCTAGAAAGAAGAACAAGAAGCCAAGCTAGTGTCTACATTATTTATGGGATGACTTGATAAGGCAATGGGTGGCCGGGGAATTCTTAATAAGGAGTTCATTCGTAGTTAGCAAACTGCTGAATCGGGCGAGCCAACCCAACCTTCAGACGAGGATGCTGAAAAAATGTGATTGGAGGTTGTTGGCAGTCCAAAAAAGGGAAAGGTATACGGGGTACTTGAGAAATCATTCCATCGCTACAGGTGTGGAATGCAAGGCATAGAGACTTCCTCACACCACAAGGAACTTAATAGGGAGGCCCTCTCGGCTATGGAGCAGAAGGTGGCAATGTTTACATCCGAGCTTGAAGCGGCCAAGGAAAGGGATAAGCTTAGAGATGCACAATTTTTAGGTATGCAAGCCCAAATCAGAACTCTCATATCTACTGGAGCCTTTCTGCCCCGGTCTCATGAGTCATCATCAGAGGTCCAACCTCCATATGATCGTTTCACCTGTCCTCCACGTGATTGGTCTTCTTGTCCTCCACGTGATCGGTATGATCGTCCTCCACATGATCGTTCTTATCGTCTTATAGATGAAAGTTCATCAGATGGTGGGGATGAGGTAGAAAATATTGCTTGAACATTAGTTTAATATACTTTGAGTTATTTTAATTGAATTGTTAAATAGTTAGAATTTGTTTTGAATTAGTATTAACAATGTTGAATGTTTATAAGTTTTGATTCTATTTTATTTGGTTAGAAATGTTTGGTTGGTTGTTTAGTTGAATGTTTGGTTAAGTGGTGTTGATTGGATATGAAATTTGGGGGTTATTGGTTGTTTGAATATTCTGCTTTCTTTTGGCAGGTGGTGTAGCTACCAAAATAGGCATTTCTTGCTAAAAATAAACCCAAAAAACCGATCGACTTTGATCGGCAAACAGATAAAAAAAAATATTGTTAACTACCGACCGATATTGGTCGGTAAACACAAAAAAAATTATCAGAAATTTAAAAATACCGACCAATATCGGTCGGTAACTAAGATATGTATCAAGATTACCGACCAACTTTGGTCGGTAACTTTTAATATTATATAAAAAATTTAATAAAAATTATTTAAGACACCGACCAACTTTGGTCGGAAAGGTCAATTAAAATAAATAAGTTACCGACCAAAGTTGGTCGGTAAATTCATTTAAATAAAAAAAATTCCAGTTTACATACTGACCAATGTTGGTCGGTTTTATTTAATTATTAAAATAATATACCTACCAACAATGGTCGGTATTATTAAATTAATGTCAGATGGTCAATTACAGTGACCGGCCAAAATTAGTCGGTAATTTCCGACCAACTTTGTTCGGTATACTCTACCACCACTAATTTTCCGACTGCCCTTACTTGGTCGCTTATTGGTCGCTTTCTGCCTATTACCAACCGATATTGCTCTATTTTTTCGGACGGAAAATAACAGATTTTTAGTAATGTATAGATATAAAGTAGTACTTAACTTATATATACAGTATAATATTTTGGTGAACAATGTGCGTTGACCACCCTTGACAAAGGGTCGCGTAAAGCGTGGTTACGCCACTGATCCCATCAACGACTACTTCTATTAATTCCGTATTTAAAATTATGTCAAAAATGCTCGTTATGAGTGACATAAATTCTTCTTGAAATGTTTTTCCTACCCAAAGGTCGAACTTGAAAGCTCTACGTTCTGTTGAGGAAAGGAAAACTTTTACCGTCCTACTGCATTTCTGGAGTCATATATCGTCCCGTCTTCAATCCTACTATTTTAATCTTACGAACTTAGCTGGCAATGATACATATACATTTGAAAATTTGTTTAGTCCATCCTATTTATACACATATAATATATGAATTATGGTTATATTATATCTTCACCGGTTATTTTTAATTTAAGCGGTTGGGTGAATAACTATTTGAATTAATTCTTTTAATATATGAATTATGGTTATATTATATCTTCACCGGTTATTTTTAATTTAAGCGGTTGGGTGAATAACTATTTGAATTAATTCTTTTAATATATGAATTATGGTTATATTATATCTTCACCGGTTATTTTTAATTTAAGCGGTTGGGTGAATAACTATTTGGATTAATTCTTCTTTTAGGACATTTTGTGATTTTGTCGAACAACAATGATGGACTTAAAAGCTTTTATGATTGGGCTTATTGTACCATGGCAATAACGGGCTCTTTTGGGGGAGCCTAATGGAGGAGGATTTTACTAACAAAATCTAGACCCGGGTTTCGTTCAATGCCTGTTTTACAGGTTGAAAGAAGGAATTTTGTACATGGTACAATTAAATTATACACTATATTTATCATAAATAAATTCACTTTAAATTATTTATAATACATAGCTACGTATTGGATTTTATAGCAAATACCCTCTCTAAGGGATTTCTAACCCTAAAGTAACTTTTTCCTCTCTTCCTCCTCTCATCTCCGTGCTATAGCCTAGCCACCTCCCCCATCTCCCTTAAACTTTCTATCCATCTGGTGTTACAATCTCGCTGGAGAACCACCGCCGGCCTAACCCGCTGGAACACTACCATCCGACCTCCTTTTTATTTTTTTCTCTCCTTTGTACTCTCTCTTCTCTCACTTGCTATGAAAATTCCTCAATTTAGTACCTCAAATTCCTCAATTCAGACCGGCCTCATCATTACCTCCATCGCCGCCGTCATCTCTGGCTGAAATCCATGGCCAACCGACCGCATTTCTCAAATCCGAGTATATTTTCTCCGATCTGAGTGTATTTTCTTAGATTTGAGTATATTTCATTTCATGTGGCCGAATTAAATACAACGAAATATACATTATGGCCGGATTTTTGTTTGTCTGACTAGATTTTGGTAGATACAATGCGATAGTATATTCTCAGATCTGGCCGAATTTTTGTCTGTTTCCATTTTTAGTTTTAATACAATGTATACAATGTTTTGCTTGGCAGGAAGGCGTCATATCCGGCGAACTTTCTTCTCTTCTTTGCTGTTGAGTCACATACAATAATACAAATACATTGTATCATATACAAATACACTCAATTTGAGTGTATTATGTATTTTTCAATGCGAATACATATTATTTTTTGTATTTTTGCCTGTATTTATGTATTTTTGAAGGGTGTTTTTTGCGGCAGATCCTTGTATATTTTGAATTTTTGTTGTTTGAATACAACCAAATTAAATACAGTAAATTGAATAAAGTATAAAAGCAGCTATGAATGAATATAATGAATTGAATACAGCCGAATATCACTGTTTTCTTAATTTTTTATTGTTTGAATACATTCGAATTGAATACAGTGAAATTGAATACAATGTAAAATAGTTAAGAATGAATATAGCCGAATTGAATATAGTGTATACAACTGAATTGAATACAGTGGTATACACCCTATTTCTTATTTTTTTTATTTGAATACAACTGAATTCAATACAGTAAAATTGAATACAATGTAAAATATATAAGAACGAATAAGTCCGAATTGAATACAATATATATAACTCAATTGAATACAACGACATACATCCCATGACAAGCAATTAGTAGCTACGGAATATAATTAGCTAAATTAGAAAATAATTAGCTAAATTATAGCTATGCTCAGCAATAAGCCTCCAAACAATAGTCATTTCTAAAAATTCCCCTTAAAAGAAAAGATTTGAGTATGTGTTGCCTTCAACTTAAAGCTCAACTTTAAGTTATTACCAGGGTAAGACTACCCAAACATTTATCGATGTTTTTATTCATAAATAAGACTACTTTGTGGAGGCCAATTAACTAGGAAAGTTACGTGATACATTAAATATTTATATTGTATGTACTATTTGTAGATACATTTTCAGTAAATTTACCATTCGTAGGTGTATTTGAATTTTTTAATAAATCCATGAAATAAGAGATTAATTATTTTGATGATTTGAAATAAGAGATCAACAAGCTCTCGTAGCTTAGTTGGTTAGAGCACCTGCTTAATTAGCGGAGGTCTTGAGTTCGACTCTTAACAAGACTGTTTTATTTTTTTGTATATGTGTATTTTGCCTTAGTTGTATTTGTTGTGCGAACAAATACAGTCGAATCAATCAATGTGTCTATACTCCACATAACAAATTCAATTGTACTGTTTAGCGGGTAAATAGTTTGGCGCCCACCGTGGGGCATAGACAATAGTGGGATTGTTTCCGATCCGTTCATTTGTTTCTAACAAGTTTTGATTCTTTTGCCAAGTAGAAATAAAACCAGATAATGGCAGCGAATGGTATCAAGGGTTCTCGCAATATAGGAAAACTCGATGAACACGAGAATGCGTTCCAACGCACAGACTCAGAGAAGGAGACCCACAACGTTGGGGGAGAAACTACTCCAATACAAAGAGGCCGAGACACTCAACACACGAGGGATCCCACTCCCGATGACACGGAAGATAATCTCGTAGTAGAAACAGTCAATA